TACTCAGGAAGCTGAGGTGGGAGGTTGCTTGAGCCTGGGCTGAGGTGGGCAGATGACGAGGTCAAGAGATAGAGACCATCCTGGCCAACACGGTGAAAGTCCATCTCTACTAAAAATACAAAATTTAGCTGGGCATGGAGGTATGCACCTGTAGTCCCAGCTACTCAGGAGGCTGAGACAGGTGAATCATTTGAACAGGAGGCTGAGGTTGCATTCAGTCTGGGAGGTCCATCAAGGCTGTAGTGAGCCATGACCAAGCCAACTACACTCCATTCTGGGCAACGGAGCAAGACCTTGTCTCAGAAAAAAAATAAATAAATAAGCTGGGCAAGGTGGCTCATGCCTATAATCCCAGCCCAGGCCAAGGCAGGCGGATCACAAGGTCAAGAGATCAAGATCATCCTGGGAAACGTGGTGAATCCCCGTCTCTACTAAAAAAAATATAAAAATTAGCTGGGTGTGGTGGTGTGCACCTGTAGTCCCAGCTACTCAGGAGGCTGAGGCAGGAGAATCGTTTGAACCCAGTAGGTGGAAGTTGCAGTGGGCGGAGGTGACGGTGAGCTGAGATTGTGCACTGCACTCCAGCCTGGTGGCAGAGCGAGACTCTGTCTCAAAATAAAGAAGTTTTAGGCCAGGCGCAGTGGCTCACCCCTGTAATGCCAGGACTTTGGGAGGCCACGGTGGGCAGATCAGTTGAGGCCAGAAGTTCAAGACCAGCCTAGACAACATGGTGAAACCTCGTCTCTGCTAAAAATATAAAAATTAGCCGGATGTGGTGGCGTGCGCTTGTAGTCCCAGCTACTCAGGAGGCTGAGGCAGGAGAATAGCTTGAACCAGGGAGTTAGTGGTTGCAGTGAGCTAGGATTGCACCACTGCGCTCCAGCCTGGTGGCAGAGTGGGATTCCATCTCAAAAAAAAAAAAAAAAAAGAAAGATTGCTTGTTCCATCTTACTACTGAATTATTATTATTTTTGAGGCAGGGTCTTGCCGTGCTGCCTACTCTGGAGTGCTGTTGTGCTGTCAGAGCTCTCTGCAGCCCTGGCCTCCTGGGCTCAAGCCATCTTCCCCACTCAGCCTAAATTTTGTATCACAATATTCTAGAAGAAATTAAAGAAAAAAGAATCAGCTGGATGCAATGAAGCACCCCTGTAATCCTAACACTTTGGGAAGCCAAGGCAGGAGGATCACTTGAGCTCAGGAGTTTGAGATCAGCCTGGGCAACGTATTGAGACTTCATCTCTACTAAAAAATCAAGAAAGTAGGCTGGGCACAGTGCAGTGACTCACCTGTAATCTCAGCCCTTTAGGAGGATTACCTGAGCCCAGGAGTTCGAGACCAGCCTGGGTAACATAGGCAACCCCATTGATTAAAAAAAAAAAAATCAAAAAGGCAGACATGATGGTGCATACCTGTGGTCGTCACTACTGAGGAGGCTGAGGTGGGAGGATCGCTTGAGCCCAGGAGGTTAAGGATTCACTAAACTGATGGAGCCACTATATTCCAGTCTAGGTGACAGAGTGAGACCCTGTCTCAACAAAAGATAAAAGGAGACATCCATTTGCTTTTGAAAAGTCTAAGTCAGTTACTGAGATAACCTGGTACCTGGAGAAAAGAATGAATTGTTGCAGCTTAGTTCCTAATGACACTGAAGTGCAACTAAAAAACTGAGTTCATCATCATTTTGGATGAGAGTTAAAGAGTGTCTATTGTTAGGCAAGAAGAATTTTGCTATTATTACTGTTTACCACAAACCTTTTGCTTGAACTAGGATTTTTAGATTTAACGTAATTTAAAACAAAAACAGAAAAAAGTACAAGCTCTATGGTGTACCAGACAGGCATAGGATATTGCCTTCAAATTTTCTGGACTGGAGTAAGTGTAGAACAGGCAAGCCCACCTCTTGAATTAAATAAAATCTTCGCTAATTTTTCTCTTGTATTATTTGACCCAGCTGGAGTGTGGTGGCACAATCTCAGCTCACTGCAACATCTGCCTCCCAGACTCAAGCAATTCTTATGCCTCAGCCTCCCACGTAGCTGAGACTACAAGTGTCTGCTACCACGCCTGGATGATTTTTGTATTTTTTGTAGAGATGGGTTCCACTGTGTTGCCTAGGCTGGTCTTGATCTCCTTGGCCAGGTGATCTGCCTACCTTGGCCTCCCAAAGGGCTGGGATTATAGATATGAGCCACAGCGCCCTGCACTATTTGTGATTTTTCTATGTTGTATTTAAATATTAATAAAATTGTATTTGATATTAACTTTGTTTTACCTCATAGCAAAGATAAATAATGTTTTATAAAATTTTAATATATTAAAACACAAAAGCATCATACTGAGTCACAATGTAAAAGGTATTTCTTATTGTGGTTCTTTGTAAACAGAAATGTTACACATATTTATAAACGTTCTCCAGGGCTCTTTGTTCTTTTTTTTTTTTTTTTTTTTTTTTTTTTCTTGTTTTTTTGAGACAGGGTCTCCCTCTGTAGCCCAGGCTTAAATGCAGTAGTGCCATCATGGCTCACTGCAGCCTCGACCTCCTGGGCTCAGGCAATCCTCCCACCTCAGCCTCCCAAGTAGCTGGGACTACAGGCATATGCCACCACACCCAGCTAATCTATTTTTTGTAGAGACAGGATCTTATCACGTTGCCCAGGCTAGTGCCAAGCTCCTGAGCTCAGGCAATCCTCCCTCTTCAGCCTCCGAAAGTGCCGGGATTATAGGTGTGAGCCACCGCACCTGGCCATTCTGCGTTGCTGTGATTTCTTCTTTGATTCAAGAGTTGCTTAAGAGAATTTTTAGTTTCCATGTCATTTGTGTTTCTACTTTTGTTATTCATAGTTAATGCATTATAGTCAGAGAATAGGTTATTCTGTATTATTTATTTATATTGGAAAAAAGGTACATTCTCTTTTGCCAGTATGTGTTTATGTCTCTATATGTTAGGTCAACTTCATTTTATTGCGTAGAACATTTATATTTTTAAACTTTTTAGTTTGAAATACTTTCAGACTTGCAACAGTGGTACAAAGAGGCTGGGCACAGTGGCTCCCACCTGTGATCCTAGCACTTTGGGAGGGTGAGGTGGGCAGATTGCCTGAGCTCAGGAGTTTGAGACCAGCGTGGGCAACACAGTGAGACCTCATCTCTATTAAAATAAAAAAAATTAGCCAGACGTGTTGGCTCACACCTGTAATCCTAGCTACTTGGGAGGCTGAGGCACAAGAATCGCTTGAACACAGGAGGGCAGAGTTTGCAGTGAGCCGAGATCTTGCCACTGCACTCCAGCCTGGGTGACAGAGTGAGACTCTGTCTCCCCCTCCAATAAAAAAAAAGTACAGGCCAGGCACGGTGGCTCAAGCCTGTAATCCCAGCACTTTGGGAGGCCGAGGTGGGTGGATCACGAGGTCAAGAGATCAAGACCATCCTGGTCAACATGGTGAAACCCCGTCTCTACTAAAAATACAAAAAATTAACTGGGCATGGTGGCACGTACCTGTAATCCCAGCTACCCAGGAGGCTGAGGCAGGAGAATTGCCTGAACCCAGGAGGAGGAGGTTGCGGTGAGCCAAGATCGCGCCATTGCACTCCAGCCTGGGTAACAAGAGCGAAACTCCATCTCAAAATAAATAAATAAATACATACATACATACATACATACATACATACATACATACATAGAATTCCTGAATTCTAAATTCTTCCAAATTTCGCAAGTGTTAACATTTTACTACATTTACCTTATGATTCATTCTCATTATCTCTCTTCTGTCACCCACTCACTCAAGTATTTTCAGCAATTGAAGTGGAGAATACTCCTTGGTTAAAAAGATATCACCTCATTCTCCAGACTCAAGATTCTGGCCGGGTGCAGTGGCTTATGCCTGTAATCCCAGCACTTCGGGAGTCCCAGGCAGGCAGATCACTGGAGGTCAGGAGTTCAAGACTGGTCTTGAAAATGGTGAAACCCCCTCTGTACTGAAAGTACAAAAATTAGCCAGGTTGTGGTGATGCGTGTCTGTAATCCCAGCTACTTGGGAGGCTGAGGCAGGAGAATCACTTGCACCAGGGAGGCAGAGGTTGCAGTGAGCTGAGATCACGCCACTATACTCCAGCCTGGGTGACAGAGTGAAACTCTGTCTCAAAGAAACAACAACAAAAGATTTTTATGATGTGTGATCTTAGGGATAGTTCATTGTCCAATGATTATGAGATAAAGAATAATAAATTAGCATTCAGTCCTCTAAGTAGAATTTCTGGCCAGGAGCGGTGGCTCACACCTGTATTCCCAGCTCTTTGGGAGGCTGAGGCAGGTGGAACCATTTGAGGTCAGGAGTTTGAGACTAGCCTGGCCAACATGGCGAAACCCTTTCTCTACTAAAAATACAAAAATTTAGCTGGGTATGGTGATGGATGCCTATAATCCCACCTTCTCAGGAGGCTGAGGCAGGAGAATCACTTGAACTGGGGAGCCAGAGGTTACAGTGAGCCAAGATCACGACGCTGCACTCCAGCCTAGGTGACACAGCGAGACTCCATCTCAAAAAAAAAAAAAAAATTCTGCCAATCATTTGAGCGCAGGAGTTCAAGACCAGCCTGAGCAACATGGCAAAACCCCACCTCTACAAAAAGTACAAAAATTAGCTAGGCCTACTGTCATGCATCCTCCCAATTAGTAAGTCATGTGGGAGAATCATCTGAGCCTGGGAAGTCGAGCCTGCAGTAAGCTCCGATGGCACCACTGCACTCCAGCCTGCAAGTGACAGATTGAGACCCTGTCTCAGAAAAAATAAAAAAAATTCTGGTCCCTATGTCTCTGAGACTATGAGATCTCTTTCCTCTAATCGCATTACACAGTATGTATATCCTCATGTGTGTGAAATTGAAATTGGTTCAATTTCAGTTTTTCACAGGCCCACTTTCTTGTTCCAAGGGCAATGGTTTGGAGCTTTCCTTGAAATAACAAATTTCTGCTTATTTTGTTTTCTTTCTTCATGCAGACCTGAGGATGAGATATTTCTAAAAAGACTTTCTCAAGGTTACTCCGTGGGAAAGGATTCTGGCGCTCCCCTTTTCTACAGAGAAGAGGGAAACAAAACATTTCAGGAGAAAGATTACACAGTAGCTGCAGTGCTGTACTCTAAGGTAAAATGCTCCCAGCTCAGCAATTCATTTATTTTTCTTGGAGTCACAGTTCTCATTTTGTCACCAGGCTGGAGTGCAGTGGCACAATCTTAGCTCACTGCATCCTCCGCCTCCCGGGTTCAGGCAATCCTCCCACCTCAGTCTTCCGAGTAGCTGGGATTGCAGATGTGCACCACCATGCCCAGCTAATTTTTGTATTTTTAGTAGAGACAGGGTTTCACCATGTTGGCCAGGCTGGTCTTGACTTCAGGTGATTCGCCCACCTCAGCCTCCCAAAGTGCTGGGATTACAGGCATGAGCAACCATGCCTGGCCCAGCTCAGCAATTTAACAATACATATTTCTTCAGGACATAGAGCTGTATTGCTAACAGCCAGTGTTATGTTTTTATTGAATGTCTATAATTTATTGAATGGATTTGAAAAAGAAACCTGGCAGAATTTTGCTGTGGTTAGAGTCTAACACAAAAGGTAGTTTATAGGCCCAGTGCAGTGGTTCACACCTGTAGTGCCAGCACTTTGGGAGGCTGAGTCAGGAGGATCACTTGAGGCCAGGGGTTTAAGACCAGCCTGAACAATACAGGGAGACCCCTTCTATACATAAAATTTTTTTTTCACTCTTGCCCAAGCTAAGTGTAATGGTGCAATCTGGGCTCACGGTAACCTCTGCCTGCCTCCCAGGTTCCAATGATTCCCTTGCCTCAGCCTCCTGAGTAGCTGGGACTAGAGGCACATGCCACCACTCCTGGCTAATTTTTTTTTTTGGTAATAGAGACAGGGTTTCACCATGTTGGTCAGGCTGGTCTTGAACTCCTAACCTTGTGATCTGCCTGCCTCAGCCTCCCAGAGTGCTGGGATTACAGGCATGAGCCGCCATGCCTGGTCTGTACTCCCAGCTAATTATTTTTATTTTTAGTAGAAATGGGGTTTCACCATGTTAGCCAGGCTGCTTGCAAACTCCTGACCTCAGGTGAGCCGCCTGCCTCGGCCTCCCAAAGTTCTGGGATTATAGGCTTGAGCTACCATGCCCAGCCCACAACGAAATTGTTTTACATTAGCCTGACTGGTGGTGGCATGCATCTGCAGTCCTGAAACGGGACCTGAAGCTCCCTTGGCCCTCTCGAGGGGCATGCGATGGGGTGTGGCTCGCCTCTTCAGTGCCCCGCTGCTCAAATCTCTAGGGGTGCAGACAGACGGGCAGGCTGTGGGGCTCCGACCCCATGCAGTGTCCGGAGATGAGTGTTTCCAGCTGAAGCCCGAGTGGGTGTGTGTTATGGGATGCTCTTTTAGTTTGTAGTCTATAGGCGGCTTGTGTTAACCAGCTCAGTGAGACCCTTTACCCTGTGGCAAGGACAGAGGGCTTTCTGTATCCCAGGTTCTTGCCTTGGTGTACTGGAAGAATCGGATCACATGTGGGCTTGCAGAATGAGTGAACGTTTTATTGAGTAGAAGTAGCTCTCAGCAGGTTGGGGAGCTGAAGGGAGATGGCTTTTCCCTGGAGTCAACCACTCTGAGGCCCACTCCTTTCCACCTGCTCTGACCAAACTCCGTGTCATTCTGCCCACCGGTCAATGGCCTGCTGGTGCCTGTCGGCTGCTCTTTCACCGGTATGCTCCTGACGGCATCCAGCTGCTTGCCTGTCTGCCTGCTAGGGTATTGGGTTTTTATAGGCCCAGGCTGGGGGCGTGGCAGGCCAGGGTGGTCTTGGAAAATGCAACATTTCGGCACAAAGGTGGGAGTGCCTGTTCTCACCTAGGTCCATGGGCAGGGGCCTGAGGGTGAAGCCTTAGCCAGAGACCCACCTTTCTCTATGCAGCACTTCCCTGCCCCCCTCCTATATCAGTCCCAGCTTTTCAGGAGACTGAAGCAGGAGGATCACTGAACCCAGGAGTTCCAGGCTTCAGTGAGCTGTGATCATGCCACTGCAGTAGCCTGGGTGACAGAGTGAGACCCTGCCTCAACATATATATATATATACATATATATATATATATATATATATATATTTTTTTTTTTTTTTTTTTTTTTTTTTCTGAATTTCTTCAAGAAACTTCTGCTTCCATATTCCTTCAGATACCTTGTAGCAGTGAGCTGCCTCGCCTGCCTCGCCTGTGTCTGTCAGCTCTTGTTGAACTGTATGCTATTTTTGTGTGAATGTCTGATGAGACTGTTAGCTTGATAGATTCATCCATTACTCTTGGCTGGGCACAGTGGCTCACACTTGTAATCCCAGCCCTTTGGGAGGCTGGTAGGAGGATTGCTTGACCCCAGGAGTTTAAGTCCAGCCTGGGCAACATAGCAAGACTCCATCTATAAAATAATATGTGTATTACTCTTACTTTCCTGTTTTCATAGTC